GAGAAGCCACTTTGAAGATATCAATATGTAATACAACCACCATTGTTAATTCCCTACCCCTTTGTTTGTAACTCTGTGTTGTCTGTATTGTGCTTGTGATATGTTGTAAAATGTTGTATGTCTGTTAATGTTTCCCTCCTTTTATCTTTAAAAAAAAAAAAAAAAGAATGGCTGCTATATTTTTGTTTTTTATTTTAAAGAGAGAAAAATAATAAAAATTACACAGAATTTCAAAACATGATAGGAAATTAACAATGACTGTTATACTGCACATTGTTATCTTCAAAGTAGTTGTTCAGATTACCAGATATAGGCATGTAAAATTGATCAAACATATATACTAACTGTTCCTTACTTTGAATATAAAACTCTGAAAAGATAAGCTATTATTCAAGGGAGTCCATTCATGTCTTTCAGTAATAATATGAAATAAAGGCATGAAATAAATAAACAAATGATTTTTTTACTGCAGAACATTAAACAAATTTCAGGTATAATATCTCAAGTGTTCTTCCTTGATAAATGAGCTACAGATTAATTCTGTTACATTAAATATACTCACATACCACACATAACTGACAGTCTCATAATAAAAAATGGATGCTGATGTTTTTAAAGGGTTGAAAGGGGAGGAGAAAGAGAAATGGAGAGAAGGAAAGAAAAGACAGGTGGGGAAGGAAGCATGGAGAGGTTGAACAAGAATACAGGGAAGAAGAGGCAGGTTTTGCAGCTTATAAAACCTGTAGTATTTACTCCGTGGCCCATTAAGGAAAAAGTCTGCTGACTTCTCTCTATTCTTATGCCAGAATTCAGGAATTCAAGCTACCTGAGTATGCTAACTTTCAGGGAGAAATGGAGTTCACTTGAGCTGTTATAAGGCAAAGTCACCCCATTATCACAGTGTCCATACCCTATCACCACCCCCACCAGACACGTTACAAGTTTCAGTTGCTGCTTTTCTCTAAGTCAAGAACATATGCAAAGACAGACTGAACCCAAGTACCTGCTCTGTCTTCTCGGCCTCCACCTTGAGCACCGGCTCCTCCACTTCTTCGTCATACACGCGCTAAACAGGCAAGCAAGTTTAGGTTCAAAGGTCAAAGCAGCATCCAAGGTAAATCACCATGTATGAATCCAATACCCCGTCACAAAAAAGCAAGGTGTAGGAGGAAATGGTTATTCGGCAAATAGCTGAGGCCAGGACCGAGGGGGAGTGGACAATCAGCAAAAGACAGAAATCAATTCATAACTAAAAATAAAAGGATACAAAGATGCAAATGACTAGGAAACTCACTTGGCCCAAGAGTTGTAAAAACAGTAAGATAGCAGATTTCACACTTGTGTTTAGCTGAAATGCATATGCTGCAGGACAAAGGGGAAGACAGTATTCCCCAGGGCTACAGAAGATGTCACCTGCTGCAACTTATCAAGAAGGTCACAAGACCCTAACCCCTGGAGCAATGGAAAAGTAAAAGTAAAATTTATTTTCATTCTGCTATTTAATATGGCTGATAAATTTTTGTATCTTATTCTCATGAAAGCAGAAGGCCAATTCCACTGGAATTAGATAGTGGGCATGGTCACAAGACTTTGAATACTCTAACCTACTGAAATATACTTTTTTTTTTGGCACCAGGAATCAAACTCACAACCTTGTGCTTGCCAGGCAGGCACTGTGCCACTGCGCTATATCCCTGACCCTGAACTGCATACTTTTTAGAAGAGTGAGTCATATGGTATGTGAATTATAGCTCAAGTTACGAGATTTTAAATCATTACACATTATCACTTACCTAAAAGCTTAGGATCAAAAGTGCCTCAATCTTGAGCAGATTTTGGAATATCTGCATAAATTTTACCAATTGAGTATGGCTAAACCTGAAAATCTGAAATCCAAAATGCTTCAAAATCTGAAACTTTTTCCAATTTCAGGTTTTTAGATTAAAGACACTTAAGGATGCTTATCCTGTATAAAAACGCACATAACAGAGAAGTACGGTTCCCAACCTACTTCAACCTAACCCTTGGGACATGCAATTTCAATATGATTTGTGTTTCTGATGTCTAAGGCCTTATACGAACATATACAGACATACCCAAATTCAGAGTTCCTCTACTCCTCCTGTTTTTAAATAAAAATGTACTCGTACTACACACATCTCTCAGCCCTGTATTTTCACTTAGTATTCTCTTAAACCACTTTCTAGGTCAATACATATAAGTAGGATTCAATCCTTTTAATTATTTCAACAGTCTCTCATTGGTAAGTATTAAGAATTCCAGTTTTTACTATTGTAAACAAAGCTGCTCCAACTCACCCATACCTACATTCTTAGGTACCTGTCCTTTTATTTCTGGAGGCTTCTCAAAAGACAATTATGAAACAAAAGGATAGAGCTTTTTCAACCTGAATACCTACTGCCAGGTTGCTATGAAGAAATGTGTCACAATTTACTACCATCACCAGTGTATCCACCTGTGTCCCAAGCCTTCACCAGCAATGGATGTTGCCCACTTTTATGAAAATACCTGCCAGTCCTATCAAACAATGTTGTTTTAAATATATGCTCTGACCCAGTAATCCTACTTCCAAGAGGATGCTTATCATATCACATTAGTGGAAAGTCACATACACCAAATCTACTATTCTATGCATTCCAATAAAATGATAAGACTTTCTATAGAACAAAATAGTAAGTTAATCTTCAAATACACACAGAAAAGTCAAAAGTGGAAGACAAATAACTACAACAGTTGTGAATAAAAGGAAGCTAAGGGGGACCTGGTTTGTGAAGACACACTAGAAATCTGTGGCATTTAAGATAATAGTGCTGCATACAGTAGAGAAATAATAAAGGGCTGAGGTCAGAAAAACACAGTTACACGCAAGCCTGACCTTATATTCACACAAACATGCATGCCTACACATGGACATTCACACTCCTCAGTCAATGAGGAAAAGGGCACCTACACAATAAAGGTTACATATATGGAAAAAATGAAATCCCTAGTGTTACATATACATGTGCTCACACATATCCACAGATACAGAGTCTCCCGGCAGAGATACAAGAGGGCCTTCACCCTAAGTGTTTACAGTTAAGGAAAAATGCAGGGGAAAGAGAGCTGGTACTTTTGAAAAACTGTGATAAAACATTAAAAGTAACAAGTGTTACTTTTAACAAGTAACAACTGTTATAAGCTCTGGGTGGTACATGGTAAACAAATAGCTTCACCTCATGAAGCTATTAGTCTGGTCCTTTAGATACCAAGTGTCCACGGTGACAAAACTCATGAAAGAAAGATGGCAGACTCAAAAGCATATACACTGTTTGATTCCACTTATAAAAAGTAATAAAACAGGCAAAAGGAGATTATAGTGCTTAGGGAAGTGTATTTGACTCATAAAAATATAAGAATGATATATCCTTGTGTTAAGGAATGCTAGGTGCTGCTTATTCTTCACATCTGTGGCTGTCTTCTTTAAGTATGAAATATTTCAGTAAAGTTTTCATGTTAGAGAATTATTAAAGCATAATATAGTTATATAATGAAAAATTAAGTTCATAGGAGTTTTACATATGTGTTAAAGGCTCATAAATTAAGGAAAATGCAGGTTATAAACACATACACAGTCACCTAGATTAGAAAAACATCCACCAAAATGTTTACTAGATGGTTAATTTGGGGTTGTGGAATTAGGTTGATTTTCCTATAGGTTTAATTTTTTAAACACAGGATCTGCATGAAGATGGACTTAGAAGATATGTCACAAAACACTGAGTTTTCCTTCTAGCTTTAGATGGAGGAAGAAGGACAGAAGCTATACTCCATAAGACCCTAAGCTCTGGCCCCCAAATTGCTGAAGTGTCTTAAAAATTTTTGGCAAGTGCATCTCTTTCTTCAAGAGAAAAGCAGAAAAAGAAAGAAAGAAAAAATGACCCAAAAACCAGCTTTTATAAATTAACAGGAAGATGCTCTGGAAAATTAATTCAAATTTCATTTTGGAAAAAAAAAAATCAATTTTACAAAGATGAAGATTTTAAAACAAGTGACTTTAAAAAAAATCCTGAGATATCTCTTAACTACCTCAAATCATTAATATGGCACTTAGCATTTCAAGATAAAGCTCCTAAATTAACAAATAATGAAGATTTAAGAACTGTGTCATTTAATTAGACAGGAAACGCTGCCAACGCTAATTAGCATTTCTTCTTTAAGGTCCCCTCTTGAGCCTTTAGCAAAGGTGCTAATTTTTCCTGTCCTAGAAAGTTCACACTGTTTCACTAATTCATATGTGGTTTGCAACTGTGCAGCTGTTTCTAAGGCCAGTTATTAAACCCCAGAAGCCTACCTGACTTGGAATACTCTTTCCAACAAACAACCATGAAACCTAACAGCACCATCACTCAAGCCTGAATCAAACACAGGAGTCCCAACATCAGAGTTTGTAAAAGACACAAGAAAAGGCAGGTCACTGCCTCTTGCATTATCAGGGGTAGGTTTTTTTCTCAGCCTCATCAAACATTAGCTGTTCTGTCAACATCACTGGCTGTTCTGCACCTGCAAGGTGGCATTACAGGAGGATTGAGAAGCAGTTACACTTCTCTGGCCCCAGCATGTCCTGAGAGGAATCTGGCTGCAGACTACAAGGGTAAGGGCCTAAGGATTTAACATTAAGAGGATGGCAAGACGGCTGGGAAACAAGAAATCTGCATAAAGGGGTAGAAATAACTTATCCAAACAAAACAAACTCCACCAAATCTAGACCATGGAAAATGCTGAATCTAAGAAAAGAACAGCTGAAATAAAAAAAGACCTGAAGCCTATGATTCAGAAAATGAAATTTATGCTACACCTCTTTTCTCCCCACTATTAGACTGATCCAGTAAAAATCCAGTGCCAATCTGGTGTGTGCATACTGTGTAAAAATGAAATCCTCCAAAATCTACTCCTCACCAGGTCTAGGGGTGCAACACTCACTGACTGCAGAGAAGAGCTAAGCACCTGATTCAGCAACGAGAATATTTAACAGGACACCAAACTGTGCAATCAAGCTGCATTCATCAGGGAACTAGAGACCAATCTTCTGAGTACTGTTCTAGGAAGGGAAATGCTCAAAAGCAAGTATGGTCATCCTGTGTAGATGACTAGAAAATCACCTCTGGTTGAGTATCCCTAACCTGAAAATCTGCAATCTAAAACTTTTTGAGCACTGATCTGAGACTCAAAAGGTTTTAGATTCCAAAGCATTTTAGACTAGAGATGCTGAATCAGAATAGCCTATGCCAATATCCTAGGTCAGCCTCTGAAATCTAAAACACTTCTGGTCCCAAGAGTTCCAGATAAGGGACTGTCAACCTATAACAATTTTACTTGAATACCTGCTGCATTTCAAACTCACAATTTCCCTTTGCTACTAAAGAAAATAACCAGCAGAGATCTCTATTACAACCCTCATTTCACATATAGTTCTCTGCAAAAAGGGTAGAAATGGCATTTCAACCTGAGCTACTAAAATATGCACAAATTTGCCTCCTACATAGCATTCACCGTATCCTGCTAGTCCTAAGTCATGGAATTTTTAGAATCTTGCAAGTTTGAACAATTTCTTTATGGTTTTATACTTAACAGCTTCAGGAGATAGCCTTCCTTACAGAATATGCGATAACAGGTTTCAGTGCCACAGGATTCAGCATGACAGTTGACTACTCTCAAAACTAAAAAGGTGAAGATCGGCATATGAGAAAATGTTATCATTAGATTTCTTATAAAGGCTTAAAAAAGCCCAAACTTTACTAATAAAGGACAGGCACTGATTTTAAGGAAAGAAGGTTTGATTACTGAGAACACCTTTGTCCACTAAAATTCAGAATTTACAATTCAGGACAGAATTGAGAATGACAATAGCTCTTGCTCCCCCCAAAGGTATTATCTGTAAGCACGATATAACTAAAAACTTACATTCTCAATGAACTGGGTATTAGACAGCATGAGGAAGTCATTGAAGACATTATGAAGGCGACAATCAGTGGCTTTAGTTTCTCGAATCAGACCATCCACTTGTTTCTTGATTTCATGGGTTCTAGAGATGGTCTGCTGGGAAAATTCCTGTAGAAACTGCAGTAGCTATTTTTAAAATAAACACACAGTAGTATCAGTATTACACGCACCTATTCCATGTATCAAAACAAAAAGAACACACATCCCTTCACCTTCATGTGTTGGGATGTAAACAAGTGGATGCTTATGGTACTGGCATTGAAAAACATTAAGAAAGCTCACTGAACAACTGACATGAAGCCCACAGGCACTTAAAGGCTATCTACTTTCTCAAAAATTTTGAAATCCTGTTTGGTTGTCATTCTCACTCATACGGGACTTGGGAATCACCGTTCTGGACTTTCTGGGCCCTAAGCTTGAGGAGTCCCTCTAAGGGACCTCTACATACTTGCTAGTCTTCCTCCCCACTCGGTCCAGCTCCCAACACAATCGCCTCAAGAGGGCCACAACCATCCTCAGCTTGGCAGAGACGAATGTGCCCACTGGATGGAGTCGGTGCACCGCTAGGACGACCCAAACAGTTCCATCCCAGGCGTAGGCTGAGTACTCCGGGACAGAGGCCCACGACCGCCCCCTTCCCAGTGCCTGGGGACTTCCGTGGGGACTTCGCGCAAGACGGCACCGCGTTCCTCGGGGCGGCCTGGAGCAGGGGACGCGGGCGCCCGCCCGCCCTCCCTCGCATGCCCGGCCCGCCTCTCACGCCCGCATCGGCCGCCAGCGACCAGCTTTGGCTGCTCCTGCGGATCTCTTCCACCGACCAAGGCCGCTCCCACACGGCCTCGGACGCCGGCGCCAGCTCCGGGTCGGGGGTCGCCTGGTTCATCTATAGCGGGAAGGACGAGACATGGCTGAGTCCAGGGGCGGCGACGGGCCTTCCGCCTGCCGCGGCCCGACCCGGCCCGACCCGGCCCAGCCCGGCCCGCCGCCCTCACCATTCCGCTGGGCTCGGCCGCTGCGGGGCCACGGCAGCCAGAACTACCGAGACCCGGAAGCCGAGCTCCGGAAGCCGAGGGCCAGTCGCAGCCCCAGCGGGACGAAGATCACGTGACCCAGCGCCACATGATTTAACATCGCGTGGCCACGTCCGCACGTGACCGGAAGCGCGGCGCGCGGACCGGAAGTGCGATAGAGTGCTCTGAGAGCGCGGAGGAGTTGGTGGTTTCTGACCTGCAGGTGGCGGCGTGTGACCAGCCTATGAGGGGCGGCTCCGCGGCTCGCCTTAAGGGGTCTGGAGAAACCCTTGGGGGAACCGGCCCCCGGAGCAGCGGGCTTGAGGCGGGGATGGTGGAGCCGGTGTCCCCGCTGCGCGCTGTCTCTGCCCGGACGGGCCGTCATCCCCGCGCTCTTGAGGACCTGCGATTTCCACAGGCTCTGTGGGTCTGTTTTAAGTCCTGTACCTCAGCTTTGCCCTCAGATGCAAGGCAAATATATCGGGCAGAAATTCGTGCATCAGCCAGTCCCGCACCCCGCATACTCACTGATCCGACTGTTCACACCCTTTGAAGACTCCTCTGCTTAGCCGCTCTTCCGCTGTTGGCAGGGGATGCGGGCGCCCGCCCTCCCTCTCGTGCCGGGCCCCCCTGTCACGGCCGATCCACTGACTTTTTATAATAGAAACCTTAGCTGCGGTGTCAGAGATACAGCTCAAAGTTAGAACGCTGGCCTACCGTGGGTTCCTCCCTTGCGACAGCGGGGGAAACAAAAAAATCAGTTTCTTTTCATTTATGTGTGCCTGCCCACGGGCAAGTTTAACTTCTCAGCTTTCTTTCAGAATGAAAGGACACATCTTGCAGAGTTGTGGTAATATGTAACTGTAAAATCGCTGGCCCCGTGCCTAGCGTATGCTGAGCATTCACCCCCCCGACATCTTGGACTGTTGTTGCTGGGAATTCAACCCAAGACCTTTGCAATGAGCTACATTTCTAGCCCCTTAGTTTTGTTGTTGTTGTTGTTTGTTTGTTTGTTTGTTTTAAGATGAAAGAGTCTTGCTAACTGACTAAGTTATCCAGGCTGGGCTTGAACTTGCTATCCTCCTGTCTCTAACTCCCAAAGTTCTGGCGTTATACCTGGCTTGGGCTTTCTTTGTCACCTCAGCTGTCTCACTGAAGACTTTGGATTATCTTAAGTAGAGTTTAAGTGACTTGTCAGCTTTTACTAAATGTTTGTACGATATTGCTCCTAAAATATTTTGTTGTAATTATTTATATACCATAGGTCTCTTTAATAATAACAGCTAACATTTATGATGTGATCAGTATCACCACACTCTTTTTGTGTATTAGTTCATTTAATTCTCACAATGACCTATGAGATAGAGACTTATCCTCAAGATGTAGTTGATAAAACTGAGGCATAGGAAAGATAACTTACTCCTGGTTAGACAAAAGTGAAGAAGAACTAAGAGCCCACACTGTTACCTCAGTTGCTATCTAATAATCTCCTCGCCATTTTTCCACATTCATTAAAAACAAACAATAATTCACAACTTGGTAAAACTGAGTTCAACCAGTTACAAAACTTGCATCTTAACTAACAGCATCACGGATAACTTCAGTAGCTATGTGGATGGCTGGCATCCATAGGCTCAAGGACCTTAATGTGCATCACACACCTTGGACCTTTTCAGTGGGGCAAAAACAGACGCAGATGGCAGCATCCTCCCTGTCACCTGAAATGAGGCCCACATCACCTAGAAGTGATTGACAGGTCCTCATAAGAGACTTTGTAGACTTTGTATGAACCTGCTTCTTGTACTGATGGTTCAATCAAAGCCACTGCTGTATGAGATGCCCCCATGAAACTCCCTTCCACAGCAGGACTGTCTTGTTCACTCATTTGCTTTGGTCTTATTTGTAGCAAGTACACTTCTCCACTTGGCAAAGAGATTTATTGTATATGAAATATTTAAATATTTTCTAAGTAAATTACAATTTATATTATGTATAAAATAATGGATTGGACTTAAAATTTTCTCAATTTTTTTTGAGGCAGTATCTTGTTATGTAGCCCACGCTGGTCTTGAACTTTTGATCCTGCTGCCTCAGACTCCTGAGTGCTAAGAGGAACCACCATACCTGGCTGTTGTTCATCTTATTTTGTTTAATTATGAAATTTTAAATTTCAGGCTTATAAAGAAATTGCAAAACTAAAGAATTCGTTTATGTCCTTTGTCCTGTTTCCCCAAAGGTCTATATCTTACATGAACACAGTAAAATGAAAATCAGGAAGTTAATATTGAAATGTTATTATTACCTAAACCATAGACTTCATTCAGATTTCATCACTTGTGTTAAGCTTCTTTATGGACCAAAATTATCGAGGACCACAGAGTGCATTTGTTGTCTTCATAGTTTCCCTTAGTTTCCATTTGGAAACTTGGTATACTGATAAAGAATGAGATAATTTCTCATTCTTTTTTGACTTTGGCTCCTTTGAAGAGTATTAGCCCTAGCTGGGTGTGGTGGCTCATGCCTGAAATCCCAGCACTTGGGAGCCTGAGGCAGGAAGGTCATTGCTCAACTGCAAAGTGAGTTCAAGGCCAGCCTGAAGTGTATAGTGAAACCCTATCTCAAAAAGACAAAAAAAGAGTATTAACCCTTTCTTTTATAGAATGTCACTCAGTTTGGGTTTATATTTCCTCATGATTAAATTCACGTTATGCATTTTTGGGAAGTACACTGTAGGGAAATATAATGAACCCTCTCAATTTGATGGGGTTACATTCCTATGGCACAGGTGAAATGTGAAAAACTGCAGATTTCAGATATGGTCAGAAAAATGCCTATACATGACTGTTTTATAGTTTAAACCCTAACCATGCTATGTCTTCTGCAGTTATGTAACTTAATTTAGTAAAATAGGGTGCAGGGCATTTTGGTGGCATCTTAGGGATCTTAGGGCTTTAAAAAGAATAAAACCGGGAACACTTGAGATAGCTCCCCATGGCACAGCAATTTGTTACAACATGAAAATGTTGGTGCCTCTGCTAGAGACGTATTACAGGGCAGCAGCCAATCAGCAGCAAGGAGAACTGAATAACTCTCTTGGTTTGGCTACTTGCAAACCCCCTGCCAAAAAAACAAATGCAGAGGATATTTGCGATTTCCACAAAATTAAGGTGGTGAACAATTTTTAGTTACATTTTAAGGAAAAATCTGTACAAAAGACTCAGTGGGGGTGTACTGTAATGTGCAAGAATAGTTAGCAAAATACTAAAAAGAAAACACTGAGGAAACTAGCCTTATCAGACATATATGCACTATAAAGTCTGTGTAATTAAAACAGTAGTACTGGCGCATGAATAGTTCAAAAGACCAGTGAAACACAATAGAAAGCCTAAGAATATACAGAAATATCTTTGGAAACTTGGTATCCTGATAAAGGTGGCATCTCAAGTCACTGGAGCAAAAAAAAAAAATATAGACCCAAATAGTGCTGAAAGAATTGGGTAGTTATTTGCAAAAGGATTCAGAATCCAGAGACAATAAAAGATGCATCTGATGAATTTTAACATACAAAAACAAACCACCCAACACAATTCCATTGAATTCTTTCTAACTCCCATTTTAAAGCATGCTTCCACGGTTTCTGTAGTGGGCATCCTCCCTCATTTGTATCAGTTAAAAACTCAATTTATTCAGCTGCAGTTGCACTATTCGTGGCATTTGGCTGAAAGGCAGTGACATCTTGCCTCATACATCACTTCACCAACTCCCTTCTTTCTTGTCTTTTTCTGGTCATTTTCTTCCTCTCCCTACAAGCTTAAACTTGTTAACCCCTAAGAACTCTAAAGTAGCTTCCTGCCAGGTTATCTGAGAAGTCAGCAATATCAGAACAAGGTCAAATACAGAGCTCTAGTCAGTGTTCTCCAAATGTAATGTGCACAGGAGTCTTCTGGGGACTTGTTAAAATGCAGATTCCCGTTTAGTGGTTCTGCGGTGGAGTCTGGGAGCCCACAATTCTGACAAGTTCCCAGGAGTTGCCTGGCTGCTGGCACCAAAGCAGGTTGGCACAGAGTGAGTTTCTTGCTCTGTGGTGCTCTCCGTGGGTCCAACTTGTGTCTGTGTTGTGAGGAGAACAGCCGGACAAAGCTGAGTCACCATGGAAGAGAGGCCAGGCCTTGCTTCTGGAGGTCCGGTAGAGACATGGTGGGTTCTGTGAGCCTGCAGGCTGTGTGGTTCACAAGGCTTTGTGCTCAGAATGGCTCCACTTAATTTGATGCTCTGCCATTGCTGTCTTGAATACTTAAAACTTTTTGAACAGGGACTCCCAAATTTTCATTTTGTTTTGGGCACAAAAGTTATGTAGCTGATCCTAGGTGTGTGTGTGTGTGTGTGTGTGTAGGTATAGGCCTTCCGCCTGGGTGGTAATTGGAAGAAAAGTATTTAGGGTCAGAAGCAGAAGCTGCCTTTCCTTGTACTCCTAGCTTTTTTGTGCCCCAGGTGGATGGCTTCCTTGCAACGTTCAGGGAAAATGGACAACAGAAGAGAAAATATGGGGTCTTCTCAGAGGCCAGCCTGGGCACTAAGCCAGTAATAGCTAAGGAAACCAAGGATTTGTGAGGATTGCACACCAGCTACTTCCAAATTCTAACAGATTAAATAACCAACCAATGCATTAAGGAACTTCAAGGGAAAGAAAGAAATAGAACCAGTGGCACAGCATGGTAGACAGTGCTGCAAGAATTCAGCAGTAAGTACCAAATGGACCTTGCAGACTTTAACTCACTGCTGCAGTTTCAGAGAACACAGAAAACTCTAAGGGCTGTGGGGATCAGAGAAAGAAAATACACTGGAATTTGTAGTGTAGAATTGAGATCATTGGAAAGAATTGTTCGTTCTACAAAGATTTTGCTTTTACATCATTTTAGAATGTCTCTAATTAAATGCTTCCAGTTTGCCAAATAGGGAAATGTATAAGCCTTTGATTTAAAATAAAGAACTTTTGGTAGCAAAATGCATAAATCTGTGATAAATAAGGAGGTATTTCTATGAAGAGTTTTTCTGGAAATGTTTCCAACTTTTAATTGTCAAATTG